CGGTGCGAGCCACGTCGGCGAATTCCCGCAAACGGGTCGCACATGATGACAAGAGCCCGATATTTGAGACGCTGGTTTCCGCCGGATTGCGAGGCTCAGCCTCGCGTGCAGTTTGGCAGGAGGTAGGGAGAAGATTGCGAAGCGTGGCCTGCGAAACAAAACATCCACTCTCTCCGAGACGGAGGCACCAGTTTTCGTCGGCCAAATGCTCCGGATCCCATTTTTTTCTGATTCTCCTCCCTTGTTACTATCACCTTGTGCGGGCGGCCCCGTGGCCAAAATGAAGATAAACTCAACCCAGTGCCACCATACGTCGCAACGATCCGGGGCAGACTGGCTGCAGTCCATGGCGCGTACGGCGTATTGTCCGATTGCAACGTGGAGCCGCGAGGCGACGCTGGCAGCGCCCCTTCGCAGGCCGTGGGTGGTGTCCATGTTAGGTTTTGAGCCTCCTCATTCTTTTTCCGCCCTTCTCCCGATTGAATGGCGCGTGGCCTACAGGGCAAAAGAGCTTCAGGGTCCAGCCGCTGATGCGCTGCCCTTGGCGGGGGCTCCCTGGGCCGAGGCCAGGACAGGGGTCCGGGTGGTGGCAGGGTGGTCCAAGGGGGGAAAGGCTTGACACACTGGCTGAAATTGCCCCAGCGCATAGCGAGTTTCAAGGGCCCTTAACCCAGGACCGGAATCTTTTCGGGACGCTGTCCGCCAGCGCCAGCGCCAATGCCAGCGCCAATGCCAGCATCGAGCTAGTGCATATGCGTGTTGTGTGTTATGTGTGTGTCCCGACGTAGGTCGGTAGTAAGCATTACCAAAGCCTTAATGGCATCTGTGCACTTGCACCACCGCTTGGATGTTGGCGCTCGCAAGCCTAGCAGAGCCAGGAAGCTCGTACGCAGAACCGGCTGGGGGAGGGGACTGCATGCTAGCGCACCACGAACCCGCGACGCACACACATGGCAGGATGCACAACATGAGCGAGAAGCATTTCGGGCTGACGACCACCCTGACACAATCGCAGGCTGGGATTTCTGCACGCGGAGCTGTCCTCGCGGACCGTGCGAGCCGGGCCAACTGGCGACGGGCGCAGATCTTGGTCGTATTGGATAGAGGGCAGTGAGCAGGCACAGAGTCGCTGCAGAGCCAACTTCAAACCTGCGGTCAACGCTGTGCCTGAACGGCCAACTGTATGGAACTGATGGAAAGGCGCCACGGACAGCGACCTTCCATGTTAGCTTGGAGGCCAACTGACGTCGTCGCCGCCCTGGTCTGCGCCTAATGGCTAGCGGGGCCGGGCGGGCGAATGGAGGAGCCCTAGTTTATTATTAGACGATAGAAAAAGAAGCAGCCCTCAAAAAAGCAGAGAACAGACCCTCACCCCTCGCGCCACAGCGACCCCAGCGGTTTGTTCGGAACTGGGATGTTTGCTGGTGGCGGCCGCGTCGTCAACCCGACACGGCGGAATATGGAGAAAAGTTTCCCGTGAGTAGCTAGTTGGCTGCAAAACCAGAGCACGAGACTGGAGTAAACCGAAAACAACTTCATGTTTCAACGGGCCCGGATGTCAAACAAATCGGCTTGTCTTGTCGCCCCAAAACCAAAACATTCGGAGCCGGGGTGTGCGGCTCAAAGAGACAAAACCCCACTGGCTGATGGGGAGCCGCCTCAAAGAGGAGAAGGGGTGCCCTGCTCGGGCTCCCCAGGCCTAGGGCAGGGGTTAGGACGGGGGGTCAGGCACGCCAAGGCGACGGACGGCGGGGCAAGGGCCCATCGTTGGGTGGGGCGGCGGCCAATCAGGTCCGCCTCCGCAAGCCAGGGCGCGTCTCTGTAACACGTTAAGCAACAACGTCTGGCAAACGTCACAGGCCTCAATTTTTTTCCTATTGTGTTTTCTTTTTTTCTTTTCTTTTTCGTGCTCTCTCTGCCGTTGTCGTTGTTTCTGAGCCTCCCCGTCTTTGCCCATCTCCTTGCCTAGCTTTCGCCTCCGTCGATTGCCCGTCGCCCCGCGTCGAAACGTCGCGTCACTGGCCCAGCGCTCGCCCGCAAGGGCCTTCCTTGACGGGCTCCGCTGGCGCCATGTGCTCTCTCGCCAGAGCTGGGCCGCCCTCAATCCGGCCAGCTGGAATTGTCCTAGCACGTGTCGTTACCGGCGCGCGCCCGATGCTGTCTTAGCCCGGGTTGGTATGGTCGCTGGCCAATCCAGATCCCTCCAGGCGGCCCGCCGTTCCTGATCGGTGTTCGTAGTGTGTTTTCTATTCCCCCCTGCCTCTCTGCCCGCCTCCCCCCTGGGCGCCTGCGGCCACTCGACCGCCCGCCCACAAACCCTGACTCTCCAGTGATCTGTTATCTTGTTCCCTCGTCCGAAGGCTGGCCCTGCAGGCCTGCTGCAGAAAACATGATGGCCAAAACAAGCCAGAGCGAACGGCGCCCTCGAGCAGGCACCATCCCGGGCGCTTGCTGCTACACATTGATGATGCCACCCGCTCGCCGCCCGTGGCAGAATCGTGACGCCAGAAATGTGGCCTCCTCCCCGTTGCCCGAATTAGAAGCGGAGAGAAGAACAGCAATACGAGAAGGTCGATTCCCGACCCCTGCCTGGGGATCTCGAGTGGCTAGGCTAGCCGAACAGACTTGCCGCCCTGCCTTCCTCATGGCACCGGGATCTCTGGCTGCCAGGCGCGCCGCTTCAAAACATGCGGGCGAGCCTGGAGTGGCCGCCATGCATGGGAAGAGGAAACAAAGCCCGGAGCACCTGGTGCCTCCTGCATCGCTTCGTCTGTCCATTTCGTCTGCCCCTGCCTAGCGGCTCGGGTCCTTTGCCTGTTTTTTTCCCCCTTATGTCAGCTCCCTTCTCTGGGAATGCTCCAGCGACAAGGCAACAAGAACCCGGCCGTCGCTGCTACTGCTTGGCGGCGGTGCCCACAGCGGGCAAGGCTGGTGGAGTTGTCGTGTGTCGTGTGTCAAGGCCACGCGGAAACACACGACCGCCATCTCTCTTCTTTCCTTGGAGCGCACGCACGTCCTCGAGCCATTCCAGACTCGGATCGGCAAGGATCCTTCTTTGGCGAGGATGGGAAAGAGGGTTAGACAATCATAACCAGAGAAAAACAGAGATGGTGAGAAAGGGAAGAGTGTCATTCACTGGACCGAGTGCTACCGTGCCAGACCAGGCCCACTGCGACCGGTTTTGCCTTGTGCTTGGTGCTAAACCCACACTTTCGCCCTCGCACCCCCCC